TGTTATATCTCAAAGCACAAAGAATCTTATCAGAGCCAAAACTAAACTAAAACACGTGCTTAAAATAATAGCGAATATTTTAATAGTTGGATAATGTTTCAATAAACAAATTTATAAAACAAAGATTAAGTTACCCATTTGTTACCCTTTTATATGTATCTCTTGTTCGCCCATCGTTAGAGTATTGTTCATGTATATGGTCACCGCAGACGTTAACTTGCCAAAATATGTTAGAGTCCGTTCAAAAGCAGTTTTTGTTATTTGCTCTAAGAGGTTTTAACTGGGACGCTGGCCGTCGGTTGCCATCCTATAATGCCAGATTGCGTTTACTAGACATGCCCACCCTGATCAACCGTAGGATTTGTCACGGTGTTATGTTTATACAGTGTATAATATACACAAGTTAATAAATGGTGATGTCGACTCCTCCTTTCTCCTTAGTTCCCTAAACTGGAATGTGCCATGCAGGACAATTCGCCGGTATCGGCCTTTGTCTCTGCCATTTTGCAGGACAAATTTTGCCCTTAATGACCCTTTCCGTGTTCTTTGTGAAAAATATAATGATCTCAGTCACGTCTTGTTGTATGGAGTCTCTTCAGTGTCTAATTATAATAAGTTATTATTGTTATTGTCCTCAAATATGTAATTCAACGTGCCTACCACTCGATGTGAGCAGGGGCATATCGCTAAAAAATTCCCCTTATGTGGTTTGGCGTTCTAGTTCTTAAATACAAAATATTAAAAATGTTTTACAAGCAGTCCATTGCTTAATAAAATACAATACAATTTGTCATTTCTCTACCTTTTATTCTATTCATTGAGAAGTGGTGCTATTATTTTATTCGTACGTTTTTCCAGTTTTGCATAGATTTTCTTAAAAAAGTCCAGAAACCTTTTATAAAGCTAACATTTTTTTTCATATTCAAATTATGTTTAGTCTTACTATTTAAAACCCGTTTTGAAAAGTTAAAAAAGTCAAAAAATGTGAGTAGGGTGACTAGTTAAAATTTTTTTGGGTTAGTGGTGCTATTATTTTTTCACAGCTGTATGTCGGAACGAGCCGGATCGGACCACTATATCTTATGGCTCCTATAGGAATAATCAAAAAAATAATAGAAAAACTATTATAACTTTGTAGAAAGTAGGCGTTTTGATTTTTGACAATGTAAAAACAACAGTTTAAGTAGGCGTACCTGCAAGGGTATATATATATATTCGGCTGGCCGAAGTTAACTTCTTTTCTTGTTTTTGCTGTTTGTTGGTTTTTGATTGGAAAGCTTTCTAAAGGAGCCGCTGAATCAAAAATAAAGAATATTTAATAATTGGACTGCAAATACAGATTTGTTTAACAGATTGGTTTTAAGTTCTGATTAATTTATTAATGGAGAAAAAACTTAGTTACGCAACCACTGAGAAAATCGTTCCTATGGAAGCTATAGGATATAGTGGTACGATCTCGCCAATTTATGTAACATGTATTTATAATATTTATCTAAATAAATTTTAGGTAGCGTACTTATTTAGTCGCATCTAAAATAATTTTTTCGTCACAAAAGTTGATATCAGAACTTTTGTACGTTGAAGGTGCGATCGTCACTAGTTTTTTACCTCGTTAAGAGGTGTTTTTATTTGATATCAGAAGTTTTTGTTTGTTTACTTTTGCTCTCATAGGTGCTAATATAAACATTTAATTTTAAATTGGTCATAAATCATAATTTTTAAACTATTGTATTTTAACGAATTAAGTTAAAAAGGCGTTGAAGTATTTCAAAATACCTTTTAAACGAGGTATAGCACATGTCTGTACCTTTAGTAGCGTAGAACTTACAAACTAAGGAAATGTAGCTATTTTTAGCTTTTTCCCGCTAAAGTAGCGGCTTTTTCCAAAAATCGTAGAACAAAAGATTCATATATGGAACTCTTAAGTGCAAATTTACTGATTCCATGATCCTAAAATACAGTTCGGATACCCTCACACAAAATTCAATACTCAGGGAGCGTTAGTAGTTCGAGCTGGCAAAAGTGGTTATTTTCGTATAAAAAAAACCTGACTTTTTAGGGCTATACAGTTTAAAGTTTTAAAGAAAATCGTTAAAGCCGTTTTTGAAAAAAATAAAAAAAAGCTAAAAAAAAAGTTTTAAAAATTGTCTTTTGTTCATATCTTTTTACCTATTACATTTACATAAATTGCTAAGAAGGCGTTTATAGCATTTAAAAATACCTTTCAAACGAGATGCAGCACAAGTCTATAGCTGTTTTTCCGCTAAACTAGCGAGTTTTTCCAAAAGTGGTTGAACAAAAGTTTTTTATATCGATGTGATGAACGTCATATAAAATTTTCAAAACTTAAAAAACATGTTTTGGACAAACTGACAAACAGAATTAAGTTTTAATTTTGGGAGCACGAAGAAAATCCTATTTTGGCTATAACTTTTGGACGGAGCGTCGGATTTTATCATATGACCCCTCATTCGACGGGTATTTTCAATAGGAACACAACTAAAACATTGCGAGGGGGCAATTATCCCCACCGGCCCCAACAGCTCCAAATTTCAAAATTTTTTCACTTTCACTGCTTTCTCTCCCAAGCCAATTGATTTTCTGAAAGTCTTCGTATGCAATCCTTTAAGTTTTTGCAATACCTTTCGATTGGTGTATTACTCATTACGAGCGGACTATCACAGCAGATTTTCAATTTTGCGGCTATATAATAGTAGTCGCCTTCGCACACTCTCCTGGTGCGCTTCGTCACTACATGGACTGCCGTCCATAGTGATAGTGGTCCGATTTTGATTAAATTAAAATTGAAATTCGGAAATATTTAAAAAGATTCATATCCTAGAGTAGAAGAGAATACAATAAAAACCGAAGAAGCTAGAATTTATTTCCTATTGCTTTTCAATTAATTTTCCGATCGTTCCTATGGCAGCTATATGATATAGTCGTCCGATTTTTTTAATATTTAATTCGAAATTCAGTAATATTTAAAAAATAACATTTTCAAAAGAAGAAGGTAATATTTCAAAAAACACTGAAGCTACAATTTTTTTAACGTTTTCTTTTTCGATCGTTCGTATGGGAGCTATAAGATATAGTTGTCCGATCCGGTCGGTTCCGACATATATACTACCTGCAATAGAAAGATGACTTTTGGGAAAGTTTTATCCCGATAGCTCAAAAGCTGAGAGACTAGTTTGCGTGGAAACAGACAGACGGTCAGACGGACAGACGGACGGACAGACGGACATGGCTATATCGACTCCCCTATTGATCCTGATCAAGAATATATATACTTTATGGGGTCGGAAACGTCTCCTTCACTGCGTTACAAACTTCTGACCAAAATTATAATACCCTCTACAAGGGTATAAAAACAAAGATGTATATGTGTAAAAATTCGCAGTTACAAGAAGCGCCTTTAGAAAATGATAACATAAAAATGAGCGAAAAAAATAATATCCAAAATTGTCTACAAACACAACTGACGAACACATAAGAAACATCACAAAAGCAAAGGAAGAGCAGAAGACTGCGTCGCAAATTTGACCCTGACAGTAAGACAGCATGAGTTTATTAATGAATATAAACAAATTATCAAATATTTTTTTTTAGTTTTTATTACCTTCAAACATTGACAAAAACACTGATAACAATCCTAAAGGGTGATCGGGGGGTAACATGTCTAAAAGTCTATAAATTTCAAAAAAGAACTTATTAAAGTAAATACCTGAAACTTACTTAATGAACCTTAATTTTAAATAAACTTATTCGAACCTCTCTTGCGAACGTTTGACCACTTTGAAATGCAACTTTGTTTTGACGAAATGCTAACGTAACCAGTGTTGGGAAAGGTACTGTGTTTTTTTACCTAGGTAAGGTAAAAGGTATTGTCAAAAATAAATACCTAGGTAAGGTAAAGGTACTTAAATTTCCCAGTACCTAGGTAAAGGTAAAAGGTATTTATAAGGTATTTTTTATTTTTTATAATTTTTTTTTGTTTTGTTCAATGTAATAGTTTTCAGTTTTTAGTCGTCTTAATCAAACAATATCTTTTCATTTCATTTAAATTTAAATGTTATAATTTTGTGTATATATTTTGAAAACACGCGGCATGAATAATTGTATGCACGTATCACTTCATTAATGTATTTATGAAACCCTCATGTACATATTTGGCGCGCAAAAATTGCGTATGTACAAACATTGACTATATATTGTGCATATGTATATGCCGTTTGTTTACGTACATACGGCATTTTTGCGCGCCAAATACACTTTGGTTTCATAAATAAATTGATGTAGTGATGGGAACATACATACGTGCACAAAATTATATAAAAAAAACTGCGATTAGTTTTAACTTCACAAAACAAACAATAGAACGGCTGAATTATTAATGCTGCGTTCCGACTTTTACAATTCTGAAACGAAACGATACAATGAAACGATACTACAGTGTCGCAGTCAGATTTGGCTATTTTAAATCAGAGCAATGTTTAATACCTATGTAAGTACCTTAATAATTCCAAAGGTATATAAAAATAAATACCTAGGTAAGGTAAAAGGTACTCAATTATTTGTATACCTAGGTAAGGTAAAAGGTACCACTAAATTGTACCTAGGTACGTACCTAGGTAAAAGTATCTAGGTATGTCCCAACACTGAACGTAACGCCACTGCGCTGCAAAATTGAACACGTGTTCACGCTTTGCGTTCTATTTTTAGAAAGTCGCGTTAGATTTCCAGAAAATTCCGGTTTGCCATTAAGAAGCTTGGTCTTTTTTAAGACAATTTGTTTACTAATCAATAATTTTTGGTACTGGCGGTTTTTTTAATTTTGGCCTATGGGCGCAACCACAGTGCACTGTGCAGTGTTGGGCGAGGTCTTTGGTGAATTCCTATACAATATTTGGTTTTCAGAAGTATGCTACACAGTATTTCCTCATTGTTTACTTTTGTTTCATTTGGTTTGCATTCAAAAATGAACTGGTAAATCTTACATTGAAAGAGAGTAGAGTAGGTCCAATTGTCGTAGGCCAGATAACGCAAGCCGACATCGTTGTACGAGTCCAGCACTTGGGGCGCGAAGGCACTGTATATGCCCGAGGGCAACGTTTGGTTGTCAATAGTTAGCGCTGTGAAGAAAAGTAATATAAATGTATATGTTAGCTTAAATATGTCAATGTATCTCATTTTTCACAAGGATACACTAATAAAAATTTATTTCTAAATTTTAGAAATCTCGCCATTGAATCGGCCTACCTTTAAAAATAGAAAACAAATTTCTTGTTATTAGAAAATTTGCCTTTAAATTTAGAAAACCTTTCTAGATGAAGAAAATTCAAAAAAGAATTTTTCAACTATTTCTAAGTATTTAATGGCAAAATTGCCATTGAATATATAAGAAATGACTCTAGAATTTACAAAAGTAGCCATTGAATTCCTTCGGCTACCGAATGTTAACGACAAGAAAAACGAAGTAGGACGAAGGGCCTACTGTGATCACCCAAATATTGAAAGGTAGGTACATATGTATGTATATAATTTTTTGTAAAGCGCGCGTACAATTGTGTGTATGTAATTGAAGGAAAAACTCAAAATCTCTTAACCAAGTTGATACAAATTTAGTTCAATTGTTTTTTAGCTAAAAGCTACGTACATACATACATTTTTACATAAATATAGTTCTATAATAACTTCAACTTATTACTCGCACTATCGGGGGTGTCACAGAAAACCATTCCTAATCTCGGTGTCACAGACGTCATTTTTGACGGTTTCTAAATCCCCCGTATTTTGCCGGACGTTTTGATAAAATCAACCAACTTACAAATGTTTCCCAAAAAAATAACTTTATTTAAAACAGCTCTAATGAATTTTATGAACTATCTGCATACTAAGATTTTTATATTTACTTCGGTTTATATTTAAAAATATGCTTTTTATGAAACCTCTCGAAAAAATTAGCTAAAAAAATCTGTCGGCAAACCGTCTACCTGACAGTGTTACCAATTACCTAGAACTTTAAAATACCAAATTTGTCCAAATTTCGGAGTTAGTTATCGAAATGTTGTGTTTACGAATTATTTATTGTAGTTAAAAATGAAACTTATTTCTGGTAAAAATTTCATTGTAAAAAAAGTTGTAGTTATTGAGAAATTAATAAAAACAGGCCGCCTTTGCAAAAAGTTGGCATCACTGTCGTGAAAAATTTCCTATTTTTGTCGGACAAAACGCCGGCTGTGAAGAAGAAGAAGACATGTAAATAAAAAAGTAAACAGTTTTTGTTTATTATTAATTTAAACTAATAAACGTTGCTAATTTTCTGGGGTAAACATAGGTCACCAGCGCAAGACCAAAGATATTATAAACACTAAGATGTGTAACGAGGAGCAAGAAAATGTACGGAGGCAGCGTCATTTTTGTCAAATCGCTCTCAAAACTCCGCGGTGCAGAAAAGTCGAAATTCAATTTTTGTCTCATTTGTTGATTCTTAAATTATGTTGCCGAAAAGGAATCGTCCTAAAAGGCACATTGCGCACAACATTTCAAAAAGGGCTGTGGCGTTAGTTGCGTTAGTTGGTGGCCCGCGAATAATGCGATTGAGGTTCGAGACCACAAAAAAGGTTGCGCTCAGTCGGAGTTGAACTCGGTCCGACACGATCCGCAGTCGAGCGACTACACCCCTAGCCCACAGTGCCTTGTTTCGAGACGTCAGACAGATGCGACATTGAGCCTATTTCGCAGTAGAGCAAACGAAATTGCACACTAACACAACCAAAGAATCTAACAAGGACAACGCACACTAAGAAATTATAAATTATACACCAAAAATTTTGCCGTACATTCAGTTGTATGGGCGTTACACCTCTTAGTGTTTATATTCTCTTTGGCAAGACGCCATATTCTTGCGATTCATTCGCGATAATATCGACATTGCCAAAGGATTTACTCAGGGCGGATGCGTTCTTGTGACCACTGCTCAGGAGGACCCGGCCAATGAGTTAAATACCCATGGACTACCATGTAAAACCGCTTGTAAGGATCTCCTCTGCGTCCTAGCCCATCGCAGTTATGCCTTCATGTGTAGGCCTTGAAAACTATTTTGTATAGAAATTTTTGTTGGAACTGCCTTACACTTTTACACTTTACAACGTTTACAACGCAATTGAATACCGTAATTATTTCAAAAAATGTTGTTTATCTAAAGACAAATATATGATATCCCATTAACTCTTTTTTTCCACACTCAAAAAAAAAACAGCCCGAAATCGCCATTAAATCAAGAAATTCGCCATGAATTTCAGTCGATGGCGATTTGCCGTATTTTTTAGAAAGGAATTTTCTAAAATTTAGAAAAAAATTTCTGAAAAGCAGAAATACTTTTCTAAAATCAAGAAAAATTGCCATAAAAATTGCGAAAATTTCCTTAAATCCAGAAAGTACTTTTCTTGAAAATATAATTTTTTTTCTTAAAATAAGAAAGGACTTTTTTTATTTTCAGAAAATTTTCTTTATTTTAATAAAATGTTTACATATTTATTTTACTATTTTATTTCCTAAACAAGAAAGAGAAAAGAAAATAAAAAAGATGAAAAGAAAATTATTAATATTTCCTAAACAAAAAAGGAAAACAAAACAAAAAAAATAAAAATAAGATAATAAATATTTCCTAAAGAAAAAAGAGAAAAGAAAACAAAAAAAGATAAAAATTACATTATAAATATTTCCTAAACAAAAAAGAGAAAAGAAAACAAAATAGATAAAAAGTTATTAATATTAATATTAAGTAGGTAATTAATTTACCTATTATTAAAATTTACTTACTTACTGCCAAATTATCAACAATACCTGAAATTGAAATTATTCCTGCAATCGAAAATAAAAATTAATATTAGAGAAGGATGGTATTTGCGGCCTGCAATAGTATGCCCTATGCTTACCATAAATTTTCACACACTTACCAAATTTATATTTAAATTTATTTAAATTGCTTACCTATTAATTGCCTCTTAGAGGGATCGCACTTTAACTTTCTTAAATAGGCTCAACACAAACTTATTACTTGCAATGTTCATCCAAAACTGAGCACAAGGGTTCAAAATGCAGCGCAACGCAAGCAACTCTCTCGCGAGAGACTGAATTTCCAAAACAACAACGCAATAAAGTTACAGCTACGCACAAGAAAATTCTCGATCATACGCACAAACACACATAAACATATACATACATACGCCAAAAACTGTCGTCGCAACGCGCCGCGGTCTAACCCCTTGTCTTCTTCTTTTTCGTTTCGAAGAAAGAGTGAGAAGCATAAAAGAAATACAAAAAGTTTTTCTTAAATCTATGGTGATTTTCTAATTCTACTTTTCTGTTTTCAAGAAAACATTTTTTTTTAATTCATAAAAATTCTTAAAATTTAGAAAAATTTACCGTATTTTTTATGGCGACTTTCTAGATTCTAGGAAGGGCTGAAGTACATTTTTTCTTAATTTAATGGCGAAATCGCCATTAATTTACGAAAACTTTTGGAGAGCAAACTAGAAAAAAACACCATTGATTTAAGAAAAAAAACATTTTTCTAAATTTTAGAAAGGTTTTTCATAAAATTCTGTTTTTATGGTCTTTTTTCCTAGATTCAAGAAAACAATTTCTAAAATTCAGAAAATTTTCTTTTAAGATTAAGATAATTAAGAAAAAATTTCATTTTATGGCGATTTTCTAAAATTTAGGAAAAACAATTTTTTGAGTGCAGATGAGGAAAGGGGAAGAAAATGGTTTTTTATGAATGCAACTATATTGTTTTGTGAGGCCCATTTGGGTCAAATCGCAGAATCAAACACAACTTTTTTTTTCGATAGAGCATTGAAGTATAAGGATCGGTTCTTTTTTTTTAACTCTTACCGTTTTTTATACCCTTGTAGAGGGTATTATAATTTCAGTCAGATGTTTGCAACGCAGTGAAGGAGACGTTTCCGACCACATAAAGTATATATATTCTTGATCAGCACCAATAGCCGAGACCATCTAGCCATGTCCGTCTGTCCGTCTGTCCGTTTCTATGCGAACTAGTCTCTCAGTTTTAAAGCTATCGCGATGAAACTTTCCCGAAAGTCTTCTTTCTATTGCAGGTAGTACATATGTCGGAGCGAGCCGGATCGGACCACTATATCTTAAGACTCCCATAGGAATATTCAAACAAATATAAGAAAATTAATTGTAACTTTGTAGGAAGTAGGCGTTTTGATTCTTGACTACTTAAAAACAAAATTTAAATAAATAGAAACGCTGAAAATGGAATCCCTGGAACTGCACCGAGTAAGCATTCTTTAATCTACAAGGGTATATAAGCTTCGGCTGGCCGGAGGTAGCTTCGATGAATAAAAATGTCCTCGAATGGTGCAGAGTTTGTCTACCTTGTCAGCGCTCTAAGATCCACAAACACAACCACCTCTTACCAGAAAATATCGACGTGCCAAACGGCAGATTAGACCACGTTCACCTCGACATTGTAGTTATGCCATTACAACAAAACTATCGGTACTGCCTGACTATGATTGATAGATTTACGCGATGGCCAGAAGCTGTACCTCTCTCAAATATTACTGCTGAGACAATAGCTAAGGCGTTCTGGACTCACTGGATATCTCGATTTGGCTCTCCGAAAACGATAACTACGGACCAAGGAACACAATTTGAGTCAGCAGTTTTCAAACATCTTGCTAATTTGGTTGGAACTAAACACATACACACGACGGCCTACCATCCTCAGTCAAACGGACTTATAGCCCAGCAAGCAATTTGAGCGTTTTCTGACTGTTTTCTGATACTTTTTTCTGAGCATTTACAGTCATAAAGTGTGCAAAAAAGAGTCCGGAAAGAGTGTTTTTTTCTTTGAAAACGGTCGCACTTTAAGAGGATGATTTCTGAGTCCGATCTGACTCTTTTCTGACTCAGATATAAGTGCTTTCCGTTATTTTAATCGCGATTTTTACTTTGATTTTCCATACCATCGTTCAGAATATGCTCAGACATAAGATCTTTTTATGAGCCTATGCCTAGAGCACCAAATGTGCTCCGAAAACGCTCTTACTTATGTGCCGACTCAGAAAACACTCTGAAACGAGGCTCTTTT